TTTTTTCCATTAATCTTTATTGTACAAGTAAGAAATAAAACCAGACGTTTAAACAGTAGTTTGGGTCTAGATGATACTTCTCGATAGGAAGAGAAGTTTTTCCCTAAAATATTTTAGTGATAACAAAAATCTTAGTTGTTATAGACAAACAAAGTGATTTAGCTTCAACTAATATTGAATCAATATCCAAACTTTCAAGTAAGTTGATTGAAATTTTGTAAAGTATGATCAATCCACTTGTAAATGAAAATTATGCTACTTTTTTGATTGTTTTCAATGGTTTCTAACTTCTACTCAGTAATTTAGAGATCGATGATGTACTTTACACATTAGATGTTTAGTAATTTTAAGACATCTATCTAATCACCTTTTCTACAAAAACCCCCGTTAATTTGACATAATTTGATAAAATTTTACTGTCAGAATCACAGTATAACAGACAACACATTGCATATGACAATCCATTCCCAGTACATTCACGTATATTAATATACATGTTCTAGAACTAACTACATATTTCAATGTTTTCGTAATGTACTTTTGATATCCTCAAGTAAACAAGTAATCATAAATATCTCAACCTAAACTAAAATGAATGAAAATTGCTTCGATCTGTAAAACTTCTGTGTAAATACCAACAGCATATACATTATAAGTGAATGGAGATTAACATTTAAATTACGAAAGACTTATGATGGTTAGAATGTATGAATTGTAATGCGAGTCTCCAGGTGCTATTTTTCTATAATTCTTGTTCCTTCTAAGATATATATATATATATATATACCTTGTTGAATCACTTTTCATATTTTCACGAGAATAGAAATCACTATTGAACGAACGCAAGTTTCATGGACTCTGGAAATGTAGTTCGTCATCACGACTGAGCAAAGTATTAAAAATTTTCATCGCCTGGATGTCAAGTTCCTTCACTGCTTCGTAGTTAACACACGCAGTTCTAGCATCTTGAAAGGAACAGTTCGGCATTCTTAAAAGCTCTCTTTCCAGAATCAGTATGTTAATCCGGACCGTTGTTGTTACCTTGACGTGGTGGTTGTACATGACTATTGTGATGGACCAATCGAACTTTACTGGCTAGAACAATCGCTCCTTAAGGTCGTATCATACCAGACAGGTCGGTTGAAGAATGACAAAACTAATGGTAACAAACCCAGGGGCCGAAGGCGAAGTCGTACTGCTGACTGTATAGAGGTGTGACAGCAGTAAGGTGTTTCCTTCAGACAACCAGCATCACAGCGATGCTGCCTTCCCACAAAGAGGGGTGGGGTTAGAAAATGTCTACCATAAAAGTGCACACCTCGCCTTATATCACGGATATCCGTCTCCGACAGTAAGGCCTCAACAAGTACAGAGCTAACACGAAAATTACCCACAAAAGGTTGTGTGTGACCGACTTCAAGTAGTTGTCCCTTGGGCAGGTTACCGTGTTAGGTAGCTCATAGCTTTTGATGAATTCTCTTCAGTAAGTGATATTAATTAAGAATCGTTTTTGGTAAAGCCTTCCCCACGATGTCAATAAAATTTGAACGCTTTCATACTAATGACCAATCTTAGTATCATGTTTCATCAGACATTGTGGTCATAGCAGGTGACTTTAATGCCCAAGTAGGTAGCTTAAACTAAATAGGAAGACATTTAGGTGGGTAGATTAATATCTTGAATCAGCAAACAGATGATGGTGATCATCTGCTGAAACTGTGCCCAGATAATCGTTTTTTCTTAGCAAACACTAATTTTAAGCATAAGGAGAGACATCCTCTAACATGGCGACCCCTACAGAAAACCAACGATGGACTCAAATAGACCATATTTCCATCCGTCATCGTTGGAGAGGGTCGACAAAAGACTGTCTCTCGTTCTGGAGTACATGATAAGTACGAGCACGCATTTACTTGCACCTCACTGGAGGTAGAATAGCCACAGTAAGAAGACCCACTAGAATTGAATTGAGTGTCGAGAAAGCCGAAAGTAGATTCCAGGAACAACTGAGGTCACACTTAGGTAGTTCTCAAAACGAAGCTGACCTAAATGTTGCTTGTAAAAATATACGAACAGCTGTGGAAACAGCTGTTAGTTATTTAAACCAAATGGTTACAAAAAACCAATCGATTTCTTCCAAGTCGATTGCACTGATAGATTCTTGTAAACTCATTCCATCAGCCTCTGAACGCGATAAAGAGCGAAAACAAATGAGATTTGTGTTAAGTAAAAGTCTAAGGAAGTCGAACTTAATCCCATCTGACTTGTCACAATCACTAATTGTCTTACTATATAAGAAAACGTCAAAATCGTCTTATGACAACCATAGAGGGATTAGTTTGACTAATATGGCATCTAAAATACTAGATTCAACAATTATCAGACGCCTTATCAAGACTCGTGAATTGCAAACACGAGAAAATCAGGCTAGCTTCAGACATGTTCGTGGCTGCAGCGACCACATATTCATCATTCGTCAGGTTCTAAAAGACAGGCATGCTTATCGGCGTCCAACAATGGTGGTCTTTCTTGACTTAAAAGCAGCATTTGACTCGGTAGACTGCGAGATTCTTTGGCAATGTTTGTCATTAAAAGGCGTACCTCAGATGTACATAAACCTTGTGAAAGCTTTTCTGGACATAACAAAGTTTTTCATTAACTGTAGTCTTCTTTTCCGATGAATGTAAGGAAATGTGCCACAATTTTATCACCATTAACATGTTTCTTGGTCATCTTCCAGATTTCAAACCTTTTCCAAATAAGTTGAACGAATGTCCAACTGTTCTATTACAGGCTCCATCGCGATGCCATTATGATAATTAGGAGCATTTGAATTATAGTACAAACTAGGAATTCCAGAAATAACTCAACTTGAGCAAGAAGTAATAGATAAGCATGAACTGATAAGTCTTGTCGATTGAACGCTATATTTATTTCCTAAGCTATTCCGATGACCCGCACGCTAGAACTACACAGCGACTTGAACACCAGAGAGAAGACGCAAGTATGAGACAGAATACTTTACTCCATGGTTCATTGTTGTACAGAAAGCATGGGTATTTATAGATGTTGACGTTTGTTAAATCAACATCATATTTCAGCCAATCCGTTATGGACATAATATGCTACTGACCAATAGTAGCACGCTACGTTGGAATTCTAGAATAGTCAATCGTGCTCTGATTGGCTAGAACTCTTCTGATTGTTTTGGGCCTCTGGAGGCTCCGTTGAAGTTCTCCGAAAGCCGACTCAACATGAACAAATTTATTGTATTTGAAATTCGAAATCGAGTATTCAATAAGTACAAATGAATCGATAATTCATACAAACACCACAAGAATATCAATGCTGTACCTCTCGTACTAATACATCGATTTTGGCATTTTAAATAAATTTACTGCCTCTGAGTTGTTTAATTGTTTGTTGGATCCGTTAGTAAATTTTAATGATCCCACCAAAAATTAATCACTTAACACTTATGATCAAATACTGACATAATTAGAATGAACTTCATGCAAATTTTAGAAAATAATTATAAAGGAAGTTGACAGAAACTACGTTTAACGGCGTTATTAGTTCTCTATTATGTTGTAATGAAGACAGGTCAACAGGTTAGTAGGCCACATAATCGATTTCGATCTTCTCAATCAATTCTTTCATTCAGACACTAGTATCTATAATTGAAGACCACTGAAGGAGGTGAGTGAATTAAAATATACAGAACACATTCAGTAGGGTTTATCGTCTATGCACTAGTGTTTGTCGCTTCATTAAATTCCTCAAAGTGATGTATATCCAGATACTTGATGTGTCCTAATATCCGCTCGTTAATTAGCATTTATATTTCATTACACTTGATGGTTAGAATTATCGTTAAAATCAATCATAGAATAGAGTCCTTGTTAAGAAGACTTTCAAAATTATGAATGCGTTTAGTCATTGTGTTGCAAATAAAGTTTACATAAATAAGTTCGGGTTGCTTTGAACGTCAACTGCAAGAAATGAAGTGATTTTAATTGCAAACATATTTAATAGAAGTAACGCGATCCGTTAGGGTGAGGATGAAACCAAAGAAGACAATAAGTAAGAGTCTATTATTCACTGTGATCTGTCTCTGCTGCCATATGTGTATTGTAAACGAAAAGCTTTGATGTACCGTTAAGTCACAGATCTTAGTATGTTCGTTTCTTGACTAGAAGTCATGAATATCAGCAACCGGAAAATAGAAAGTCTCATTGATATCTTTACACCTGTTGAATAAATCGAAGCATGTCTAGATTCAGTGGCTCAGTGGATAATGAGTTTGAGTTTGAAGTGAAAGGTTCAGGATTTTAGTACTAGTCTATATGAATGGTACATCCAGGTGAAGAGTCACAAATAATATGAAATATATGTTCTGGACTCAGCTGCTAGCCATATACCAAATGCAGTAAGAAAATCATTTTGATGTTCTAATAAGGTTGAAAAGTTGTGAGGACTCTATGTTGATGACGGGACGCAAAATGTTTGGGCGTTACTTTACCGGAGAAACAAATGATAAGGTTCGAACAGATAGGTAAATGAAGTTTTGTCCACTAAAGTTTATGCTTATAATGAATTATTTTTAGAAAAAAGAGCAATTGTAAGTTTGATTCGTATCTTTCATTCTGCAATACCAAATTCATATGTTTTGGAATCTAAAGAAGAAGGAATTCTCATTTGTGTTTTGTTGAATTGTACCTGTTTTGTGAAGTTGAATATATTTTGATTACTCCAAATACTAGTTCTTACTTTGAAATACACAATCATTTCCATTGATGTTATTGTAGTAAAAATTTGACCCTTGTGAATGGCATAGTCGGAATTATTTCTGTGATAATTTCGCAGAAAAACAATAATGCTTTAGATACATTTTAGAGCGTGTTTCTTTAAATTTTATTCCAACCAATGAGACAGTCAAATTCCTAATGACCAATTAGGTTATACAAATAGTTGCCATATAAATATACTCATCCATCAGTATGGTTTATTTAATTATATTGAATAGAACTGTGGAAATGAAGATTTTTGCAGTAAGTTAGATTCATTATGATTTATACGACTGAAACCTTCACGTAATACAATTCATCATATTTTTCTGATATATTTCTGTCCAATTCGCTAACAATGCTAATCAAGTCAGTGATATCATGTTAATTTAATTGTATACGGTAACAATTAGTTATCAATATAAATTGAATGGAATTACGTGAAGTCATGAAACGTAAGGAAGTGATACTCCACCCAATATAATGTTACAAATACGTTATTGTTATCATTCTTAGAATTGAATTATTTGATCGCTGTCATTTCCTTACTAAATTTGTTTGAATTATTTCTTAGGTTTTCGGTATTGTGTTAACTTATTTCTGTGCAGTAACGTTCGGAGCTGAAAGTCTGCACCGATGTAATAAAGATTTTGAGGCAACGATGGAATTTTGTTTCAAACAGAACATAGCTTATTCAAGTGAGTGTTGGTAACATATTATAATGAACTTCAATGTCAATACTTATCATTAATTCACAAGGTCTAATGAATAAATTATTGTTTTGTCAACTTATTTTTATGCAAGATTTGTTAATTTGAAAATGTTAGCTAAACAATATTGTGCATGACTATGAGCATGTGTTTGATTCACTTTCAAGTGACTAGTTTCTAATTGTAATAATTTCAGTATGTCGAGTTAGAGTTGTCATGTAGCTAGGAGTAAAATACCCCATCTCATCACCCTACAGTGAACATAGAGAGTTTCAAAACTGTTATACAAAATATAATTTACTGCTTGATGCATTATTTCTTCTGACCATATTTTGTATAAACAACAATCCATAAGAGTTTGTAACTGTACTGACGATCATAAATTTAAGTGTATTAACACATGTGGTCAATATGAATCTTAAAATTCGCTGCATATACCTGTTACATGCAACTACTTTTCCACAAATATGTCATTGAAGCAATTATAGATATAGTCAATTTTAAAGTGAATTTGAATTTCATCATTAAGTACATGTGAATGTCCATCATCATGCACTTCAAGAAAAGTGTACTGCTACCATATACTATTAGCGTCCCATTGCGATTATCACTATCATAACAACATTATTTTATGTGTGAACGAACGTTTATTAAAAATAATTCGAATTCCTATACTACTGAAATGATTTCTCAGTCTTATCATTGCGTATATGAAGACATGTCGGTTGAAATAATTTTTGATCTGTTAATTTAACTGTTCATTACCGAAAATTGTATCATCTTGATTATTTCATAACTTTGTAAGTTTTCGTAAACAGAGTTCTATCGAACTAATCGCTCTCATATAAATGATTCTTTATGCATGTTAACTAATTTCTGTTCCAGAAAATTATTTAAGTCACATTTACATCATAATAGAAATCCATTCAATGTAACTATTACTTTGTACATGAAACAACATGATGGAAACGAATAACAGGATTCGCTATGTAAGGACTTGTTATTATTTTGTTATTCTTATTCGGAGGTCATTTTTATTTATCCGTATGGTTTATATTATGTCTTTTGAAACGCCATTGTTTGTCTCTTTTTGTTTAGACAGGTTCCCGAACTTAAAGAGTTTGAGAAATGCTTGCATGGGTGATAGATATTGCAAACCTAGAGCAAAGAATTGTCTTCTATCAGCACTTCAAGGTTCGGCATTCAGTAAATGTCCTTTACAAAGAACCTATATAAAATCAATAAATCGGATGTTCTGATAAACTTCTGGACATCTCTTAGTCTGTTATTTGAATTTGTAATGTACAGATAAATAAAGTCTTTATTTTATTAACTATGGTTTTTCTAAACAACAGTTACGGGTGATAAATTATAAACAATGGCTTCACCAAATTTTAGTGAAATAAAGCTGGATTAATTGTTAGTCATTTCAGGTTATCTATTTGATGCATTGCTTAAAATAAATGTCTAAACGTCTGGTTTCTAAGCGCTTAATGTTCAACTCAAACTTTATCGGACATGTTTGAGGCATATTCAGTCTGCTCTTCTTTCTGATCAACTAGTGTAACTGATTTAGCAGTTTCATGCAAATCGATGCATACTGCTGGAAGTATTTTGAGAAGCGCACCTGTAGAACATGAATACATCAGTCCACATACTGATTTATGTACGATGACTAACGTAATTAAGAAGTGGCTCCCAAGTAGTGTAGCGCTTCAATTTCCATTAGTATAGTATACCAGGTGTATGGATAAATTTAACAAACTGAATAAAATATTGTGAATGTATATCTCATATAAAAAACATTCTACAACATTCGTAGTAATAAACGACCTCAGGGATAGAAACAAGTGGTTACAGAAGCAGAAAACACTGAGAACAAGTAAGAATAAAATGAGTCAAGCCCACTTAATTGATATAAGTTCAATAATCCAGAAGACTATCAAAACAAAACGATACATTCATGTGATTAATTACAGTAAAGAGTTGAGCAGAATTTTTTGGTGTAATGGAGGAATATTTATCACGAAAGCAAAGAGAGACTAAAAACCATCTCCTCTTGAACACATTGGTCAGGTGTATAACAACTTATATCAGTGGCCTCGGAAGACTTCGGAAAACAGGAAAATGGGTGTTTATTGATCACTTTGAAAGATTGTAAGCGGTTGGTTTAACTGATGTCCTATATCCAACAGATGTTTAGTAATCGCACCGTTTAATTCTGTCCTCTCACTTGTTCGAAAGCTTTTCGAAAAATATTCGAAAGATCTAAGATATGCCCTCTATAAGAATAATCAGCTAGTGCAGCTATTTTGGCAGATCCACGTAAATTTATAAACACAGTTGGAAGTAACATAACCTTATAACTAACTAGAAAAAAACTATTGAAATCCAAGCAAAGACTATTGCACGTACTTTCTGATAAGCCAAACATTACACCGTCCCATCTTCCGTCCGTTGTATTGCAATTTTAAGAAAGTGAGACATGTAATTGTTTTCGTGTTCCACAGTGAAATGTGTGTTGGGACGAAAACTGTTAAACAGTGCTGAAAAGTGGATCTCATGGTGTATATTATGGTTGGCAACAAACGTGTCATCAACACGCTTGGAATATTTCGTCATTTCGTTAATTGCTTGTTTACACTGCATGTTATCAAGGTAATCCTTAAAAATATCCACTATAATTTGACCTAATGGACTTTCCATTGGCACACTATCAATTTGACGGTATGTAGTGTTATCGAACTGAAATCGAATGACTTTCGTGAACATAAGTGAAATCTGCTTCAGCTATGACACTGGTGAAATTAAGAGATTGGAATTCAGACAAATTATTTCAATAGTTTCAAGAGGTGGTATTTTGATAAACAGGGATATTACGTCAAAAGATACCATGGACTAAACAGAAACACTCATACAACTTAGTTTGTCAGCAAATTAGAATGAATCTCTAAACATAAATGTTGCTAATCTCTGACGGACCAGTTCCATCTTACCTGCTAGCCAGTGAGAAACTTTGTGACATGGTGAATTGTTCATTGACTGAATAGGTTTAAGGAGGACAACATGTTTGTGTACTTTTGGTGGATGTGAGCCTCAAGGTCTTTGAACATCCTAAGTGGAATTACAATGATTTTCTAAATTAAATAAGAAGTTCTTCAGACATACATGTGATTCATTATCCTGTTGAATCTGATAAATGCTTGTTAAAAGTATGTACCTCTAATCTCTAATGCTTGTTTAGGATTGATATTATCTTAGAGATGTAATCAGCTGTGTTCATTAGTTTCAGTAGCTTTATTATTTTATTTATATGAATCTTATCTATAATATGGCGAGAAATAATGAACACTCCTTTTACTCATTTAATATATTAGTTAGACGTATGTTCCCCTAACTCCGTAACAGAATTTTACTTACGCCTGTTACCCCTCATGGAGGATCATAGGCTGTTATTTAGCATTCCCCAACCCACTCTGTCCTGAGATTTTCTTTCTAGTTCTATCCGATTGCTGCTCTTTCTTCTCATGTCTGAGTCCAATTATCGGCGTAATGTGTTCTTTGGTCTTCCTCTTTTCGATGACCTTGAGAAATCCAAGTGAAGGCTTGCCTTGTGACGAAGTTCACTGAATGAATATTCGAACACGTAGCAAGTATATGCAGATTTGAAATCTCTTAATATCAGTGAACAACAAATATGAGCATAAAACATGTGAAATGAATTTTCCTAATTAATAAATCATCATAATGTTTAAGACAAATAGTGATATGTTTGTCTGATTATATCAGCTTAGTTTGCCTGATTAAGAATGATGTATTTGAAATAGGATAAATATGACAAATCTGAAAACTTCGAATCTCGCGATGCAAGATTGTGAATGCGCGCTGCTGAGGAGTCTTAAAATAGGACGAAACAGCCGTCCAGTGCTTCCAGGTTTTCCATGGTGGTCTATTGAAATTATTATATTTCAGTCATGCATTTTATAATTGGCTTAATTTACCATGTGATTGCATATATAGTTAATATAATAAAGAATTTTGTTCGATTTATGAAATTATGTTACACGAACCTGTAGATACGAATTCCATAATTTTAAGTCGATATCTTAATGAATTGTTTAACGAAACATCACTTGAAGAGTTGCTATACTTTATTCTTCATACCTGTCTCTAATAGGTATCTTCTATCTTATTATACTTTCTGTGTCCGATCATTTTCGGATCTAAAAGTCTTCAACCATGTAATGAAAAACTGAGAGGAACAATGAGATTTTGTTTTAAGCATGGGTTAAGAAAGTCATTTAAGTGTCGATAACTTGTTGTTTCAAATCTACATTTTTGTATTACACAGGAGCATAAAATGAGACAACATTTATTTATATTGCTTAATCCAAGGTTTAATGTAAGTGATAAAATTGGGCATTATCTCACAAGAATAGTAGAAGTAAAAATTGTGGTTCAGCTTATAAAACATGCCATTTGATACGTTAATGTACATACCATCTAAAGTCCAGTGATTTCGGGATCTACATGTTATGTTTTAGTTGCTTGAAATCTGACTTCAGTTAGATTGTTTCTGATTGTTATCGAAATATACATGTCATCAATCCTCTTATATAATTATCAACTTAAATCGCGTTAGTGAATAACAGAATTAAGTCAAATACGAGAACGGATTTTCGAATAGGTATATTTCGTACAATCGTTGATCGGAAAGCGAAACAAGAAGAAATGATGTGCAATGCAGAAGGTGAGTGAGCCAACTCAATTTAGTTAAGCATTATTCGACATTTAGTCAGACAAAAATAAGTTACAGACATGTGATGAGTAAGATTTGAAATGCACACACATACGCTTACATAAAAACAGTCAAGTTTGATAAGTGAATAAGTGACAAGGTCAAAATGTAGCTTGAGAAAAATAGATGAATTGGTTTGTCTAGCAGCTGAAATAAGCTATGTAGGGTTGACATAGGGCCAGCCACTACAAAGCCCCCCTGTAGAAAACAGCGTATTAATTTAAAATCATCTGTTTTCGAAAACTTCACAGAAGTGGTATGTGGTCAACTTTATCAAGTAGCGAAAAAATTGTAATATATCTGATTGAGTACAGTGTCATGTGAGGGGTGAGTGTATTGTACGAAAGTATCACACTTATGTAAAAATGTAAATGAATATTATAAAGACGCGGACAAAAATGGAAATGCTAGGATGCGATCATGAGCAGATCAATTAGCGTACAAAAAATTAGTATGCATTTATGTCTTGACTGTCTAGACGACAAAGTAACGCGTTCTTATGAGCAATTCCATGTATTATGAAAACAAAGTAATAAATCGTTTGTGGGTATGACAGCAGAATAAATCATGGAAATAAGGTAGAATATAAGAGGAATTGGTGTATGGTATCGACAGAATATAAAAATAAAGAATAGTTGAGTATGAACTGGTTCTAATAAACCAAAGTAATATAAATGGCGTCGATTAGCGACTAATGGTTTGGTATTTTCAATGAGTTTATATGGGATAAACATAATCTAGCGGTAAGAAGATAACTGTATTGATGAGTGATATTCGTTGCTGTACTGCAATTGATGATAATCACAAAATGCGAAAATAGTGTAAGTTGTCGTTCGCGTCACAAACAGATGCATCGAGATACCGTTAAATATTTATATAGAATGACCAGAGGAACAGAATAGTGACTGCAAGGACGACATATGCGGATTCGTATTCATTTTTGGTCCTGAAGCCTAGAGTGGTTTATGTTGTTTGAAGAATATGCACTCGACCTCGTTCGTTGCGAAACCGTATTAAGGTATGATGATTATCTATGATGGCAAGTTAGACTGACTTGGATGAGACGAACAAGAGTGTAACCTTGAGAGACTGGCTCTAAACTCTGTTCTGATATGCACTGCGACTGGAATAGAATATTAATTCCAGTAATCAAACAATGTTTATGAGTAATGGGTAATACAGCGTGCAGTTATACATGTGAACTAATAAGCAAGATGAATATATCGAGCTTACACTTTAATCAATGGTATGACGATATTATCGATGAGGTTGTCCGGAAGCTAGAATAACCTATGTGGTCTTGATGTAGTGATAGGAGTTACAATGTGACTAAAAACTAAAACGTCCCACCTAGTATGAATTCCACTTGATCCTCTGTGGTTTCTTCCCGCTTACTAGTCACATTCCTTTTGAAAGTTAACTAAAGCGAGTTTAAAATTTCCAAATATTATTTAAGAACAAGAAGTCTTACAGTCAGACGACTGTCTGATTCGACAAACTTATACCCCAAAAATTATGTTATAAATGAAAAAAGA